GACTTTATTCTGCCAGGATGGAACTGGAAGTCTAAGACACTTAAATCAACAACTTCCCACGCCAATATCCACTACAAATTTGGTGACATCTTGGATGACCAAGGCCTCTCCCAGATCGTCGAAGAGCCATCAAGGGACCAGGACAACTTGGACCTTATTCTTACAAACATTCCATCATATTACAACGAGTGCGTGTAATCCCAGTGATTTCAGACCATGACATCGTTTTCTGTGATTTAGACATTTCACTATCCAAACATAAACAGACATCAAGGAAAATCCCACTCTACAAGGAGGCCAAATGGGACACGATCACAACAGAAATTGACAACCTGCACACCACTATTTGAGATATGGTAGCTTCAGGAACTACAGTGGAAGACTTGTGGAACCACTTAAAAGAACAACTCGAAAACATCACTAATACCCACATCCCACAGAAACTGGCCAAGACCAAAGCCAGCCCACCATGGATATCCGAGGATCTCCGGAAGATGACTCACAGGAAGAACCGACTGTACAAGAAAAAGAAAAAGTCACCCTGCCCAATCGACATTAAGAAATACAAACAGGCAAGGACCCTAATACAGAAAGGTCTCAGAAGAGCTTACTGGGAATACGTGGAGGACATCATCACTCCCAAGGAAACAGACAACCAGTACAGTGCAATGAAAATATTCTGGACGTGCATCAAGCACAAGAAGACAGAATCATCGGGAATACCACCCCTACGAAGCAACGGGCTCCTACATCCAGCCGCAGAAGACAAAGCCAACATCCTAAATCAACAATTCCACTCCGCATTCTCCCCGACAGTCAAAATCAACAGACAGGAATTTACCAATACCATCAACATGCCCGGAGAATATAACACCATCGAGGACCTGAATATAACAGAACAGGGAGTGACAAAGCTACCGAAAAACCTGAACCAACACAAAGCCGCCGGCCCCGATAAAATCAAACCCAAACTGCTGAAGGAAACAGCCAATCACGTCTCGCCCATACTTACCATCCTTTTTTCACTCTCCATGGAAACGGGCAATATACCATCTGATTGGAAGAAGGCCAACGTTAGCCCTGTGTACAAAAAAAGGTGAGAAGTACAGGGCAGAGAATTATCGACCTATATATCTGACATGTATCTGCTGCAAGATCCTCGAGCACATTGTCACCAGCCACATGATGGACCATACAAATAGGTACAACATTCTCTATCCCCTGCAACACGGATTCAGACAACAAAGATCATGTGATACCCAGCTTCTAGAATTCGCAGAGAACACCAGTAGGAACATGTCGGATAAGAAACAAACGGAAGTTCTTGTCATTGATTTCTCTAAAACCTTTGACAAAGTCTGCCACAGCCTGCTTTTCCACAAACTACACCACTACGGCATTCAAGGCAAAGTCAACGCCTGGATCGAATCCCTACTTACAGACTCTGTAGATGTAGCCTCAGGAGTGCCACAGGGATCTGTCATCGGACCCAGTCTGTTTTTCCTCTATATCAACGATTTGCCACTGAACATCACATCTAAAGTTCGCGTGTTTGCCGAACACACAATAGTCTATCTAACGATCACATCGGACATTGACGCAAACATTTTGCAACATGATCTCGAAAAGTTAGGAGTACGGGAACAACAATGGAAGGTGGAATTTTACCTGGGAAAGTGCCAAGTATTGCCTATCACCAGAAACAGAAACAAATTCAACCACAAATACACCCTTCATGGACATGTTTTAGAGGCAGTGACATCAGCCAAATATCTTTGATGTACCATCACGCAAGATCTCAAATGGGGCGTGCACGTCAGTAACATCTGGGGCAAAGCGAATTGTACCATCGGATTCCTAAAACGAAATGTCAACAACTCCTCCGAAAACATCAAATCAAAGGCATACACGACCCTAGTTAGACTGGTTATGGAGTATTGTGTGGGACCCCTACCAACAGAAAGACATTGACAGGTTGGAAATGGTACAACGGCAGGCTGCTAGATATGCCACAAACACTTACAGATGGACAGCTAGTGTCACCAGCTTACTAGAGCACCTCGGTTGGGAGTCATTGAAAGACAGAAGACAACACGCAAGACCATGTATGCTGTTGAAGATCCACCACAACCTCGTGTATACCAACTCCGACATGCTTACTCCACCCAGCAGCCTGTCGAGGAATTCACACAGCCTTTCCTACCAAATTCCATCCTGTGGTAGTGACTACAGGAAGTTCTCGTTCTTACCACGCACCATCAGGGAATGGAACTCCTTACCAGCGGGCGCTGTCACCTCAGATGACCTACCGGTCTTCATATCTCGGTTATCTGTGACGCTGGCCTAATTTCCATCTTTTTATCCTGTTTCTTAACCATGCGCACTCCAAAAACAAAAATTTCATTATAATCAACTTGATGATTGTGGACCGTACTTGGTAGAAGCAGAAGTAATTAAAAAAAAATGAAAATCTGAATACAGTCTTTACATTATTTATGCATCACCACTCATAAAAGAAGCAATGGAAAATGCATTTAAGACGAAATTTACAGATTTTCCAGACAACCTACCCAAGTGCAACGCCCTTTTTCAGCAACGAATTGCTTTTTCATAATGCGTGCCGGTTTATAACTAGTTACAGACAGAAACTGTAATTTTAATTGGCATCAATACCTGTCAAACCTCGTTGATAGTTATAAAATTTGAAATTCAATCCGGTGTTTCATGATGGAACAGTAATTGAGACTATATATCTATATAAAGACAATTCCAGTTACGTCAAAGTATTACAATGTCTTCATTTTATAAATTCCTTTTTTTTTACTAACATCTCTATACATTTACTTAGACTAATCGTCAAATATGTAATTTGCACTTTTTTCTATAGCAATACCAAACAGTTTTCTCCCAGTTTATCTCAATCATTCTGTTTGTGCCCTGACGGAAGCACGCAGAGGGTTTAATTCTTCATATGGGAGGAAGCTGGAGTATCCGGAGAAAACTCGCGTGGTCGGACAGGTGACCGGGATAGAATCCGACCATCTTGGTAAAGATGAGCGCACTTTCTACTGTGCCACCCAACCCATCATATACGTTATGCACAAGAACAAATATCTACTCTAACTTTGACTGGAAGAAAATTGCGTCATTGATGCAAACATTATATTGTGAATACATCTTTACCAATCATCAATGATATAGAAAATCTACATACGGGAGACCGGGGTAAGTTCGGCCATCCCTGATATTTTTAGCTTTTGAGCTAATATTTACAACTTTAAGGATCTTAGCAGTTTAGTTGACTGGGCATTCAACGACGAAAAAATGCCGAGGAAAACTCTAATGTAAAATGACTTAACTAGAGAAAATAACTTTTGAGAGGGAAGAAAGAATCATGATCTCGCTATGATATGATATCATGATATGCGAACGTTTTGAAACGGAATTGCTACTATTTTACAGTCAAACGTGTAACACACTGACAGCTTCAAACGATAATGCATAAAAGCCAAGCCAATCACTCACTACCATATTGCTGTACGATAAGAATTTATTGAAATATCAGTTTGGGCCCGAACAGGTTCGGGCAATGATACCGTGGCAAGGTCGGTCCATGTAGTTACAATTGTAACACATAAAAAGTCGTAAAATTGGCGGCAAAAACTGACGTTGCATCCTTTATGACGTCATGATTAAGATGATTCCAATGGGCCGAACTTACCCGAATGCCTGTTCAAACTTTCCCCATGGGGCTCGTTCGGCCGTCCGATCTTCCGACAGGAAAAGATAAATAATGTTCAAAAACGGGCGTGCTGCCATACTTCCTAGAACGGATTTTAATAAAAAATCAAATTTAAAAAAAAAAGGCAGAACCTGCCAATGTCTCCCTTATTGTTATGTCGGTCTTAATGGTATTAGAGGTTGTGTTTTATTGTTATTCCTCGACTTGCCGACTTTAAATAAAGTTCAACTTATCTCATTATGGAAATTGTATTCTGAATCAGTAAATGTCAGAGATCAACAAAAGCTACGCTATTTTAAGAATGTGCCTTTTCATATGATGCTTTTTATGTTAAATTATCAATTATATTCCTGATACAAAAATACAATTCACAATTGCAACGGGTAGTCGGGTGGTGCAGTGGATAACGCACTCGTCTTTAACCAAGGCGGCAGAGATTCGACTCCCCGATCAGTAGTATGGGGTCACATGAGCGGTCACGTGAATTCCCCCCGGGTACTCTGGTTTCCTCTCTCATTAAGACCCCTGCGCGCTTACATCCGGGCCGTGAAGAGTGATTAATATTAATTGTAATAACTTGTTCATTATAGTTGTGAAAGAAATAAAATAAATATGTTATATAAATATTGCATCCGTAATTAACAACTTTTGAAGGAACGGTGTTTGATGGCATTAAGTGGCAAGAAAGTCTTATTTCTTAATCATAAAAAAACATAAAGTTTAATCAAATAAAATCTTATGTGATGATAAATCTCATCAAGGGTTAGATTTTTCACAATGTTTTGCAATTTCTAGAAAGGGCATTCACATGAGTCTCTCCAATAATGACAACGTTACATCGTCAATAAATTGTACATACAATACCGGTTAGCCTAAACTTGATACCAAGTATTGAATTGTGAGTTTCTTGTGTGATCTCCAACCGGGGCATGTGTTACCTCCAACCGGGGCATTTAAACCACGATAATATACGTCGCTTTTTCTTCAACATCTTATTCCGAGAATATATTGCAGATGTATTAGTTACAGTTTTAACAATGTAATAATTTACCATAGATGACACATATTTATCTTCTTAGTCTGTATTGTGATCATTTTAACATCAGTATTGTCCATTGTTTGTTAAACATTCAAATCCCTAAACCATCCTAAATGGGTTTTGATTCTAGATATTTTAATTTTGTTTGTGTATAATAGATATAGTTGAGAGCGTACAGGTACATGTAACACATTGTTCAGAAACCATCCGTGACCGGACCGTGAAGTCATTGTTGGTTATACTGACACAGATACGTAGAATAGTAAATCCTTACACGACTTCAACTAGCAGGACGATGTCAGGTGAGTTTTTAGTTCTTATTATTTTAGTTTTTATATTTGTTACAAAATGTGATGAAAACGTGATATAGTCAATATATGAATTATGACCTTAGTGTTGCTTAACATTTGGGCTATGTGTCCATGGTTAATTCTTTTGGATGAACATGTCTGGTCCGTTATCGACAATCCGATATGCTACGTGCGGGGGTACTGGTATAATATTATTTTATAACGCTACCACAATTGGTACGCTACCAAAAATCGTACACAATGAAGATATTTTTATTTAAAATGAAACAGGTGCTTTCCTCTACAGTAAAACAATAAAGATATTTATCAGCATTTTAAATAAAACGTTTTGTTGTCAACGGCACTAAAGAGTACTCGATGACTCAAAGTAAGTATGTCAGAAAACCAGAAAAAAACCGACTAAATGTCGGCGATATTTTTTAAGGATTTTGAAGGTGTTACATGTACTTATAAACATGGCTAAATGTTGATCCCTCGTCTTTATGACTGGAAACTTTAGTATATATTTATATATATTTACATTTGCATGGCATTATCACTATATAGCCTCTTTGAAAGCTGTGTCGTTGATGGGACTTTAATTACCATGCATCACGAGACATAATTCTTAGCGTATTGATACAACACTGACCGCAACTACAATATCCAATATAAATAAACAATACCGCTGATGACATATCGCTGGGCATTGTGAAATTTGACAATGTCATTGAAAATTTATGTGCAAATTAAAAAAATAAAATAAAAAACACTTTTATTACAACGAAAACAAGACCAAGGTCTGCAATATCGTACAAAATGCACATCGGTTGAAATCACCAATGCCGGCAATGGAAACAATTTAAACGCGCATGCAATTTATCAGAAATATCGTCTGTTACACTGCACTGATCAACAGGGGTTCGTTACAAATGTCTGAAATACGCATATGCTATATATAGACCTACTGACACATATGTTACAGACCTACTGATATGAGTCACAGCACACATAAACATTTCAGACATTTTTAACGAACCTGTGCTCCGTCGCAAGATCACTCACTTCAAACGCTATAACGACATGTCAAATAACGAGGCTGTTATAGAATCTATCGACTGTTGTCAGGTTCCCATACAATCAACAAATAAATTCACGCCTGGATTCTTCACAAAATGAGCAAAGAGAAAAGTTCGAATTAACTTCTAAAAATAACTCCCTCGTGGAGGGCAAGGTCGGATTTACGGTGTTCACTGTATTTGTCCATACGCGAAATTTGCTCCCAGGAAAAAACGAAACAATTTTAAATCTAACTTTCAGCTCAGAGTTCTATTGATAAACTTAAATAACCCTTTAGACATATCAAACGCAATATTATTGATACTGAATTGTGGAATAAAATTGCAGTATTTGTTAAAATTTCACACTGCTTTGTTTGCCAATCAGCACGCGACAATACGCTGTTCAAACTATTGAACGAAATTGTGTGGACTGTCGATAAGGCGGGCATTTTTAATTTTAAATATAAATTATAAGGTAAAAAAGAACATAAGAGGCAGCGAAAACGTAAATATAAGTATTGAACTGTTTTTGTATGGTATTTGTGATCTATTTGAATGACACAGCTTTGCAAGAAAACAAATCATAATGCGCTAGTGCGCATTATGTCGTTTGCTTGCAAAGCTGTGTCATTCAAATAGATCATAAATACAAAAATGTACCATACAAGAACAGTTCAATGCTTAAATATATGTCAACTGTGAATGGTATATATAAAAGAAACTTAGTTTGTTGGCATTATGTACTAGAACACCAACTAGCAGAAATGACAACAAGTAACATTGCTTGAGATATATGGTTATCAATTCGAGTATTAATCATGGCCGGAAAACGGATGAAATCTCGCTCCGAGTTTAGCGATGCTTTTTAAAACAAATTACTTAAAATCAAGTGTTCCTAAAATAAAACCACAGTAGGCAGTCTAAGTGAAAACCTATTAAAGATTTCAGTCACAAGATTAGGATTTTAAGATATCACTGGAAAACTGTCAACATTATACTGATTTTGGAAGCGGTAACGGTACAATTATAGTTTTCGTTGTGTCTTTATTTATCTATCGTATCTTTCAAGTTTTAATTTTTACACTTAGTGGCATCAATAAGAAGGAAATATCACCACAGGCGAACGCGTTATAACAGTTTGAAGGTCAACAATTTTACAAGAAGAGTATATCAATGTATCTGATGCATCTTTAAAACGTTTCCTTTAGAAACCTCCTGGAGATATGGCGTGATCTTTTGCAACACTTTCCTTATTTTTGGATTTTATTACTCTATGGTTATTCCGACTGGTGTACAGAATGAAATTATGGACAGCCCTGTAAGTATTATATTCTATGTATGATATATACAACACCTCACTTAGTGGCAGAAAATTACGATGTTGATTAGTCAACACACCACACAGTATCAGACAAACATATTTCTAGTGTACGACATACCACGTAGTAAGTTCCGATCATAAGTCTTACAAATAACAAAATACCATACGGTATACGATGACATTATGTCTATGACACAACAAATACCAATCGGTGAGAGATACAGTAACTAATGGTGTGTCTATAACATACAAACACAAATTCAATAATTTATCCTGTACACAAACATTGCATTGCAACCGATGATGATAACAAAACAAAAGTCCCCCAGTGGGTGATACTTTACAACCATTACGCCA